TAGCTGTTTGTATGCTAATTCTAGCCTTTTCAGCTATTTCTGATTCTGTTGTTTAAGCTTCTTTCTGCTTTTACATCTACTTTTCAGTTATATTTTTTGCTAATTTCAGCTTTTTTTTAAGCTAATTTACTAATTTTTGTGCACATTTCTGCTAATTTATACTTAATTCAGCAAAAATTCTGCTTTCTTCTGCTAATTTAGGCTTTTTTTTTTTATTTCAACTGCAATTCAGCATTTTTTGGCTAATTTCAGCTGTTAGTTTTTCCAGCAATAAGCATTCACACTACATTTTCACAGGAAATGCAATTTTCTTAGTTTTTCCATGTAGCTTGTCTGTTTTGGTTGCAGAAATGCAAACTGATTAATATCTTTAGAGACTGTGTAACCTCGGTGCTGAGACCTCCAGCCTGAGCACAGATGATCCTGCAATTAAAAACTGTGAACACCACAAACTTGTTTGAACTAAACCACGGTGACTCGGTCACATCTCAGTGTGTGTGTGTGTGTGTGTGTGAGTGTCTCCATGTCCCTGCAGACACTCCACGGTGTGGAGATGTTGACTGATGTCCTGAGGGACTCCTAGAAAAACGCCGAGCTCCTGGACGACCTGCAGAGCTGCTTGACAACAGCAGTTGCACAAATAAACAACTTACAACACATTTGTATTTGTGTTCAGGTCCCTGAAACAAACAAAAGAACAATCTAAAGCAAGGCACATTTTATCATTATTATGTATCGTATGAGGCTGATGGGAGGAGTGGCTGCAGCTGAGACTAAATGAAACCAGAAACAAGAAGTGAACAACGATGCACAGGCTGAAAAAAAAAAAAAAAACACAAACTCTGACAAATATTCTTTTAAAGCCTCAAATCATCTCTGCACTGGTCTTGTTGGGTCATTTGACAAAAACATTTGTCTTTGCATTTCACCTCATCATCCCATCACTCAAAATCCAGACTGCTCCTGTGTAGTTTATAAGAATCTCTTATTTTATGGTAGATTATAAAATGTTCATCAGCTTCAGAGACAACGAGACACGTGAGATGAAGAGAAGATTCTTTCAGACCAAATGTTTGAGTCAGTGGAAGAAAAACATCGTGACATGTCAACAAACTACATCCTTCATGAACCTGCATGAACTCGAGAAACCGCATGTGCATGATGTCCGTCTGCAGGAGGTGCTGTCTGTCTGCAGGAGGTCCTGTGTCTGCAGGAGGTGCTGTCTGTCTGCAGGAGGTGCTGTCTGTCTGCAGGAGATCATGTGTCTACAGGAGGTGCTGTCTGTCTG